AAAAAATTTTTTTCTGTGAACACAGAACTTTAGCTGCCTTTTCTTGGCCAGACTGCATTTTTTCCAACCTGTTTAAGCATCAACATATTCAAACCAAAAATATTGAGCCTTTCTGCTCATGTTCTGCCTGATTTGCTGCATAGTGAAGTCTCCTCCCCTGTGAAGCAGGCAGATGGTAATATCTACCTTCAGCTGATCGAGGGAGCAAGGAAACTGCAGGTGTGTGTTAGAGTGTGTCTGTGAGATTGTGCACTTTAGATCTAATCATCATGGAAAAATGTGAAAGAGTCAGAATTCTGTTAGTTTTTCTTTGTCGGATAGTTTACGCAGGAAATTGTGGATTTCTGTGACAGCCTTTCCAAACTCTACATACTTGTCCGTTGATTTGATTTGCAGAGTGTGTGTGTGATATTCCTTTTGGCATGCATGGAATGCAATGATCCACAAAGGCACACTATGAGGATCATTGAGTCCGTGGTGCCAACATTTGTGCTTGTGTGCATTTTCAGTGGAATTTATATGGATCAGTGTGCACACAAAATTATTACCTGGTGACAAAGGATATATCCATGCAGCCTGTCAGAGTTCAAGGGTTTTGGATGTATTCATGTGATAACATTGTGCACCATGTGTTTCTAATTGGTCATAGGAAAAGTTGGTCTAATATGGGTTTAATTTTGGATCCATGCAGAGCAGTAAATGAAGAAGCAGGAACGGCCAGATTACCTAACAGCTTTATGAGTTGGTGATAACATGAGGCTGAGTCCTTGTATGATTCAAGAGGCATATAGGTCCCGCTCCTTGCAACATGCTGTCTGATGAGGTGATGAATCCATTGATTTAAATATCTGTATGAATAATCTTTTCATTATTATCTACAGTACTTATGTTACATTAGGAGGGGATATCAAAAAGACATTAAGCAGTTTTCTAATTATACTGCAACCATTGGTAAAAACACAGAACTGCAGCACTCTTCTGCTTGTTCTTGTAGATCTTATTTGTACTAAAAAAATTTTTACCCAATGTGGAGTTACCATCTGTGGCTGAGGTGACCTTCAAGTATCCACAAAATCAATCTTTAATATAATGCTTCCATTTTTTGCCATGTCGGACCTATTTATTACGGACGCACTTAACCTACCACTTACAGAAACAGGGCAGGAACCATCGATCCAAAGTGCATCCAGGGAAAATATAAAATATGGGCTTATAGATCGGCGCCGAATACCGAAGTGTCAGTTTGCTCATCAACCAGTGTTTGGTTGTAAAGATTACCGTATTTTCACAACTATAAGGCGCACCATACTAAAAGGCGCAGTCTCAGTTATGTGATCCATTTCTGTATTTAACACACACAAAAGGCGCACAGGACTATAGGGCACGGGTTTTATATACAGGTACATGTCCTCTACTACGTTTAAATACCTCTACTGCGTATTTAAAAAGAGAGCGGGGGCAAAACTGAGTATGTTTGTGCTTTATTCATGTATTTATTACAAAGTATTAATCAAACCCATCGAAGTCATCATCCTCTGTTTCTGAATTAAACAGCTGCACTAAATCAGACATGCCAGTTTCCCCTTCTTCGCTGTCAGAGTCACTTTCCGTGCCGGGCGGCTCCTCGGAAATAATGCCGGCTTTTGCGAAAGCTCAAACAACAGTGCCAGCAGACACGTTGTCACTTTTACCTCTTGTGCACTTTACTTGGAACTTGCTGCTACTAAGTATTGTACCCCAAACACAATTTCGTTGCCTTTTTTTGACAGTGACAATAAATTCTTGAAACTTGAAACTTGTTAGCCCAAGCATCAACAATCCATCTGCAAACGGTGGCGTAACTTGCTCGGCGCTGCCTTCCACTTTTCCTGAAACTGCGGTGTCCGTCTGTCATCCATCACTCCCATGCCGCTCACAGCCTTACTTTGAACGGCCGTTTCACACCAATGTCGAGCGGTTGAAGTTCCTTTGTCAGACCTCTCGGAATAACAGCAAGCACAGCGTTCATTTGTTTCACATTGGCTGTGAGATGGGCACGCATGGAGTCACAGATTAACAGCGATGGTGATACGTGGAAAAAACCACCTGGTCTCCTTACATTCACCTCCCTCAGCCACTCTTTCATCATCTCCTCATCCATCCAGCCCTTTTCATTTGCCTTAATAACGACTCCAGCTGGAAAAGTCTCTTTAGGCAAAGTCTTTCGCTTAAAAATCACCATAGGCGGCAGTTTCTGTCCATTTGCGTGGCAGCCAAGCACAACAGTAAACAACTCCTTTTCATACCCCGTTGTGTGTATCACTACCGTCCTGGTCCCCTTCTTCTCCACCGTGTTATTCACCAGGATGTCGAAAGTGAGCGGCACCTCGTCCATGTTGGTGATGTGGCTTGTCTGGATGCGTTTGTCGGCGATGTGTTTGCTGCAGTAGGAGTGGATGCTCGCCAGCTTTTCATTATAATCCGCCAGACGTTGCTGAGCTACTGTAGTCCTGGTCCGGATGGAAAAATTGCACTCATAGGCGTATCTCTTTGCCATTTTCAGGGTTGTTATGACAACAATGTTGTCATAACAACCGCACATTTTAAGGTAAAAAAAAGAAGTTTATATGCGCCTTATAGTCGTGAAAATATGGTAAATTAAAAGGCTATTTAAAATATATTTACAGTAAAAACTTACAAAATTTCTCTTTAACATGTTCTGGACAGTACTGGAAAAGTTTCCACTTAGATTTATAACTCCTTTTACAGATCTAGAAGGTTTTAGGAGGTTTTAGTTTTTTCATCTCCCCTCCAGGTAGGATTTGGTCAGAAAACCTTCAAAGGAAGTCTTCTTCACCACATGTTGAGTGTTAAATAATGACCTGGGTGACTTCAAATACCCACTGAGTTGAACATTTATCTATGCAGAGCAACTCTAAATTATTCAGCCCTTACCAACATATAGACCTAAAATATGATCATCCTTCCTCAGATGCTGATAATTCCTAGCAATTCTGCAGAGCAGTCGCTGGAGGCTCAAACAAGCTGTTGGATATTTAGACAACTACCTGATAACATCAGTATGCTTGCAATGCCCCCATCTTTCTTGTCTTTGTAACTACATTACCAACTGCTTGACAGGGTTTGTAACGGTTATTTGTTAAATTCAAAACTATTAGAATTTAAACAAAAGAAACAACAGAAATTAAAAATGTGACTAAAAGGTATTAGAAAGGGATCAGCAGCTTATCCATATTGATGCAAATCAGGTTGTTGTTTATCGAATGCTGCGTTTAGACATGGGAGTTTGTGTTATTAGTTGTTTCTTAAACCTGCTCCAATGATGGAACCGGAGTAATTTAGAGGTCATACATATACATATATATATATATATATATATATATATATATATATATATATATATATATATATATATATATATATATATATATATATATATATTTAATGTTTTTATTTTTTTATTTTACTGTTTCTTTCAAGTAGGGCAATCAATATCACTCCATGACTAATCGCCATGACAACTACTGAGCCAGTGCAGCAAATCATGGGAGCTTAAATCTCTTGCAACTGTTGCGAAAGATGGCAAATTGTCAGAAATGCCTGGTTGTTGTGGCTCTTGTTATTGGTTTCAAGTTACTGTCACAACCAGAGAGATAACATGACATAGATAACGTTAACAGCCGGCAAGGAACTTTAAAATGGAGCATTTGTGTTTTACAACTGGAGAAATTAATGACTGATAGGTTGTGTTTCCTCTAAATTGGCTTTTGCACTGTTATTTCAATTCATGCTGTGGATTTTACAGAATGTCTCCTAATTCAAACAGTACAAACACACTACTTGTAGTTTTACTTATATGATGTGTTGTATAAACCTACACAGAATCTTATTGCTTTTATTGATAACACTAAAAAAATAGATTTTTTTAAGCTACATGTTTGAAGTATTTTACTAAAAATAAAATTTCCATAAGTTTAAGCTGCACTTATTTATTTTTACATGCCCAGATTAAATCTATTTTATTTGACTGCCTTTAAAATAAAAATAAAAAAAACCCTGAAAGTTTTGACCTGTGAACAAAACACGAAGTGTAGTGGAAAATGGAAACAACACATTTCTGTGAAAATAGTGAAACATGGCTTTGTCATTCTTTTTTAGAAACTTACTGGTAATGGAGAGATGGGTAGTTTGTTTGTAGACAGTTGGCTGAAGGCTTTAAAGACATGAGTCTAAGGTAGATGTTCACTTGTTAGCAGGTCATCCTGTATCCTATATAAGCACATAGAAAATACTTCATTGGAAGGTTTTAGATGGAACCTCTTCATGTATTTGAAAGGCTTAGTCAAACTCCAAACTTAAATTAAAGTGAAAATCTGTGGCAAGCTTAAAAAAATTATGTTCACTGCAACCAATCCAATTCACTTTGAGCTGTTCTGAATAGAAGAAAGGTCAGACCTTCAGCCACTAGATCAGTGGTCACAAACGCAAATCCTCAAGGGCTACTTTCATCCAGATGTTTGATGCATTCCTTGCCCTACATTCCTCACTCGAATGGCTAAACTACATCACTAGCATGCAGTGAAACTCTGCAGAGCTCTGCTAATGAGCTTTTATTGATGTCAGATGTCTTAAAGCAGAGATGCATCTAAAAGTTAAAGAACACTGGCGCTCCAGGGTGGGAGTTTGAGACCTCTGCTCTAGATGCATAAAGCTTGCTCTAGATGCATAAAGCTGGTAGAGGCATACCAACAAAAGGTTTGCAGCTATAACTGCATTTGGAAGCTAAAACCTTCAAGAGTCGTAGAGCAATTTCATTATGATTTACTCTAAAGCACTACTTTATGTTAATTTGTCATAAACAGTCCATGTTTGTGGCTTTGACTCTCCAATATGTTGAAAAGATCAATAAGTGTGAATTAATTTGCAAAGCACTGCATGAGAAGCTTAGATACCGTGTTAAAAATACTAATAGGATTTTTTTCTTCTCCTTCTTTTTTTAGAGGCCAGAAAGCTAAAATGGGAGGCAAGCTTAGCAAAAAGAAGAAGGGATACAATGTAAATGACGATAAGTCAAAAGACAAGGATGCCAAGGCAGAGGGCGCTTCTGCTGAGGAGAGTGAAGCACCGAAAGACAAAAAAGATGAGGCCCCTGAAGCCAGTGATGCTAAAGAGGTAGCAAACGACACGGCTGCCAAAGAGACACCGGCTGCGGATGGTGAAGCGCCAAAAGAGGAAGAAAAGAATGCTGCTCCCGCCACCAAGGAGTCAGAAAAGCCTGCCTCCAATGCTGAGCCGAAAACAGAGGCACCGAAAAGCGCGGAGGCTCCAAAGGCTGAAGAGAAACCAGCTGCCCCTGCTCCGGCCAAAGAATCAGCTCCTGCCGCCACGGAGCCAGAGGCGAAGGCCGCGGCACCTGGCCCTGCAGCGGAGAGCAAAGGGGAGGCCGACGCCAAAAAGACTGAGGCCCCCGCTGCACCGGCAGCCAAAGCTGAGGCGGCAGCAACTGCCTCTCCTGACCCTAAGCCCACAGAGGCGGCGGCTCCTGCAGCACCTAAAGAGGCCGCTGCTGCACCTAGTTCAACACCAGCCGCCGAACCTCCCGCCAAGGAGGCCAATGCCACAGAGGCACCAAGCAAGGATCAAACCGTAGCAGTTCAGGATTAATGGACAGCTTCTTTTCCAAAATGAAGAAACAAATTACCTAACTCAATGATGACAAAGATTTAAAAAAAGAAAATTAAATTACTAGCCCGCCCATATTATTATAACAATAATAATAATAATTGTAATGATGATTATGATGATTTGTTGAGTAAAGAGGACTCGAGATATTTCCCACCAATGCGGATGATTATTGCTATTATTATTGTTATGTTTTAATCTATTTTTTCTGCTGTAGTATTTGAACTTTGATACGAGTCTGTGTCAACCATATGCCTTTGCCACTTCACCTTCATCTTTCCATTCACTCATAACTTATAGATTTCCCATTTTAGCCCTCAGAAGGCCTGCATTCATGCACTCACCTGCACCGTCTATCTGATGGATGTTTTTGGGAAACCATTCCGATGGGAGAAATGGGAACGAGGGGCTACAAATAATTTTTCCAAATGGATCTGCATTATATCTGACCGGGAGCTTCCAGTTTTCCCATACATTGAAACTTTACAAAGGTTTTTCATTTCAAGACTGAGAATACTGAAGCTTTAAGATGCATTTCAAAGGTTGAGTATTGCTGGCTTTGCAAATAACTGTAGATTTTTTTCACATAAACTTCTACATTTTGTACTGAAACCCTTAGCTAAGTATATTCTAAGGAAACCAAGTGGTTTTTTAGCATTTGTAATACTTTAAGATTTTGCAAAGCCTTGCTGAAAAGACTTTTGCAATGTTCTTGTAAAGTTTAAAGCAATTCTCAGGTCTTTAAATGAAATAAACAGTAACATATACAGATCAGACATATCTAGCATTGACTTGGATGAAATTCAAGCAGTACAATACCTGAATTGTTTATACTTGCTTGCAATACTTAGACAGTAAAGTTTACTTTCTTACGAGGACACTTTGATTAGCACATACTCTATTAGGTGGTATCTTTTTAAAAACAACAGACTAAACTGGCACTCAGACATCCTGTGACTGTCTGTCCTTCCCAACCTATTAAACAAAATCCTGAGGTTGCACAAAGTGGCAAGGCTATACGATTTTAGCAGTCTTATGTTGTCAGTTTTTTTTTTATTTTGGCCTGCAATACTTCAGAAACTTCTCTTAACATCTAAAACAACCAAAACATTTTTAGAAATCACAATGTTGGTGCTTTTATCTGGCCACAAAAGGTAAATTTGAGCATTTATACACTTTACCTTACCTTAGAAGTTTGGTATTTAGAAAATATTTTGTGTAAAATATTAGAAAATGTCTGGTTTGTCAGGCATATGAACTGTCTAACATCTTGATATGTTACAGCCATTAATGAGACTTATTTTTTGCCAGTTGATCTTTAGATTATTGGGGCAATTCAAGATTTTGTCCTTAAAGAAAAATTATATTAACACTTTTTTTTTGTGGTCAGTATAAGACATGGCTAGCCTAATGTCGAAGATACAGTGTTCCTAGCAGCTGCATATAAGAAGGCATAGCAGCATATGTCTAGAAATCATTCAATTCTTTTTATTTAACAAAGAAATAGTGGGCTATCAGCCTTAAGTTACAAACTGCTCTAAATGAAAAAGAAATCATGCACAGTTACTTCAAAATAAGTGTCATTATTTAATGTGCCATATGCATTGTTAAATGTGGAATTACTGCTAGAAATAACTATGCTAAGGTGATTCTAGAGTAGTTCTAATTGTTCTCCAAATCAACTATTCAAAAAAATCTGAAAAAACCCTTTTTATTTTAAACTACTGGTACAATGTTTGGGAAAAGAGGACTCTGAAAAAGTCAAGCACTTTTGTTTGCATATTTTGAAAATCTTTGTAGCAATGGAGGAGATATTGACAAAATGAAAGAAAGCTATATTCTTAAGGAATAATCAGTGTTTCCAATTTCATATGATTTTAAATTCAAACAACAAAAAACAGGAAATGTGAAGTTTATTTAACAGTTAAATTCATATCTACCATCACAATAAGTTTTACTTCTGCTTGTGACTCAATTCTTGGACAAAAAGTAAGATACCAGCAGCTTAAACTCTGACCACCAAACCCTCCTCTTTCGACCTTTGCATAAATGCAGGTGTAGGTGTTGTCATCTCTGCAATCCATCTTTCACCTTTTCCTCTCCATCCATACGACACACAGCGTCTTCCTTCCAGCACTCGTTGAACCGTAGCAGAAACAAACATCCGAGGACGGTTTGTGTGTCATTTTATTACGTTATTTTTCTTCCTCTCTTGACTCAGTAAATTGCATGTCTGTGGTTGGGTGAACCTGTAGTCCTGTCTTTTTGGTCAAGTGGAAAAAAAAAAAAAAAATAAGTATTGATAATTTCTCGGTCTGCATCCATGCCAACTACGATTGATATTTTCATTCCATGTTTCACCGCAGCTATTTCTACATGTTCATTCAAGCAAACAGACAAAAAAAAAATGATATTGAAATTGATGCGTTACAATTATATGTACTTGTATAAATGGTGCAACAATAATAAAATGTCAGAAAATGACTTAAATATCTTGTGCAACTGAACTTTGTCCTCTAAGTCTTTAGAACATTAACTTAGCTGGTGGTCAACTAATGTGATTTAATGTCCTTTTTTTCTGGCACACTGCTTCACTTCATTTTGTAGATCAGATAGTTTTTCCCCTAAAACACAATTGTCATGGGACCTTAGCTGCGTTGCCTGAATTGCTAAGGTGTTGGATTTGAAATCCAGCTTGTTACCAAACAAATTCAAGCCGTGCTCAACAGAAAGATAACATTCCTTTGTATTGGCGTTTAATTGTTAGTAAGGAACCATGTATATAAACACACATTTTATATAAAAAAGAACAACTTTTAAGACTAAACAAATGAAAAAATGTTTGAGCACTATATATAAATGATCACCCAGATGCAGTGATTGGTCATTTGGTGACACAGAAGTACAGTTATATGTCCTTAGCGACGTATAATGAGATAAGCTGATAAAAAAAACAAAAAACTTCATAATCTGAGCTAGAAAAAGCATCTAGATACTGTATTTAAGGGACCAAAGTACAGGGCCCTGATGCATCCTATATGTAAGTATTTGTTGTATAAATGTATAATTCCAAAAGACAGAAGGCAGCCTTGGGATCCCTTTGAATATGGAGGTTTAACAAACTTAAACCTAAGGTAGGAAACTTTCATAGTTTAGTCATAGTTTCATAAAAGCTGCTGTTATTTTAATCAACTTTAAGTTGGTCCACTCTGAGTTGAACATGCGTAACAATGTAAAGCCATTATGAGGTGAGCACTGATTTAATGTGTCACCATGACAACAGGAAACAGGAAAGTCATATTTCACCCCACTAGAACTAAAACATTTTATTGCAAAAACGACAAAAAAAAAGTAAATGGAGAATGTGTTTAAAAGAGTGAGCCAGAGCACTACAGCTGCAAGGGACAGGAAGATAGCGAAGGAAAAGTTTGCAGCTCGACTTAATGAATAGGTTTATCTGAACCCCCTATGGCAGGCCGTTTTACATTTATTAAAAGCATTCTCCTCTGTGTTGTTCCATTGGTAGATAACTAAAATCGGATTATTACTGGTCAAAATCACATTTCTAGCCGGGAGTGTAATAATGCATTTGCTAAAGTACATTTTTGCAACAGAAACTGAAATTGTCATTTTGACAAAGAAAAAACAATTTCAGATATCAGAGATACATGTTCAGTCAAACTAATACATATCAAAACGTCTTGTTATAATAATAGTAAACATGACAAAATTATGGGGAAAGATATCTTACTGCTATAATGGTAGTGAATCAATGTATTCTATTTAGGTGCAATAACCTGGCTGCAGGTGAAGATTAGTATAAAAGGTATTAGAAAGGAGCATAAAATATTGTTCAAACAGGTAGGACCTGTTTGTCATCTCATGGACTGATCCTCTCTTTGATTCTGTCTTCCATTTATTCCGGAATTAATAAATCTATGTGTAATCTGCGAATAATAATAGTAGTTCTTTGTTTACTGTAAAAAAGGAAAGAAAAAAAGATCATCGTGTCGCTCATATTAAACAAACAAAAAACAAAAAATCTCATATCTTGCAAACTGAGTTGTTTTTAATCACCATATTAAATCCATGTGACTGAAAAGTAGAATGAATTTGAAGTTAAACTTTAAAACACAGTTGTTTTTTTTAATAGGTAAATTTTTTAACCAACCAAATTGTGGGTTTACTGTTCTGATTAAAAACCTTCATTAACAGAAAAGCAAGAACAACTGAATCTTGCAATGATCTCAGATGGCATAAGTGCAAATTCACAACAGAAGTCACCTCAAGTCACTTTACAAATCAACCAGATCATACAGTCAAATTGATTTAAAGTTTTCTATCCAAGGAAAACCAGCTGATTGCATTGACTCAAAGGAGAGGAAAAACTCCCTTTTAGCAGGAAGAAACCTCCAGCAGAAGCAGTGTGTGCGGCCATCTGCCGAGGCCGACTGGGGTTCAAGAAGACAGAAGCAGAGATACATAAGGCAGCTGTAAACCAGCTCCACAGGTGGCCCTGTCCAGGAAACACACAGCCAGGCAGACGAGCACCGAGCCAGCTCCCATGTCAGAGGATGAAAGAGAGAACATATAGTTAGTCACAATGAGAGAAACAGGACTACACGGAGGAATAGGCCGAGTTCCAACATCTACAGTATAAACAAAGGTGTTGATGGCAGCAGCACAGCTAATATTTCTCTCCAGGATGGAGTCACAGCCAAACAGGAACAGAACAGATGAAGCTACTATGAGAATAAGAAGAGAGAACATAACGTTAGAGATTGAACTAACAAATTCTGCATAGTGGGGGAATAGAGACAGAATTAAGCAGAATAATGAAAAGGGGACCTTATATCCTCCAGCGGTCTAAAAGCTGGTTTATGCTCAAAAACCAGGTCTTTTGTTCTTGAGGTGCCAAAAACTACGAACTCTCATACACTGCGCCATGCGTTTGTGTAGCTGTTGTTGGGTATTTCCAGTATAAGAGTCTGGACTGCATAAACAACACCAC